TTTTTCTTTTAGAGACAGTGTCTCACTAGGTCGCCCTGTAAAGTACTGTGGCAATCACAGCTCACAAGTAACCTCCATCTTCTGGGCTTAGGCGATTCACTTGCCTCAGCCTCCTGAGTAGCTGGGACTACAGGCCCCCGCTGCAATGCCTGGCTATTTTTTTGTTGTAGTTTGGCTAATCTACCTAGTTATATGTGTATCTACTAATCTACCTAGTTATATGTGTATCTTTGTTATATTCATTTTTTAGATACTATATATCTTTTTTTTTAATGAGACAAAAGTCTCACTCTGTAACCTGGAGTTGAGTGCTCTTGCATGATAGCTCACAGCAACCTCAGACTCTTGGGCTCAAGCAGTCCTCTTGTCTGAGCCTCCCAAGTAGCTGCGACTACAGGCACCTGCCACAACACTCAGCTGTTTTTAGAAATGGGGTCTTGAGTTTGCTCAGGCTGGTCTTTGCTCCTGAGTTCAAGCAACACACCCACCTTGACCTCCCAGAGTGCTAGGATTATAGGTGTTAGCTACTGTTGTTGGCTTTAGGCACTATATTTCCTTAATATAAAAAAATTATTATTATTTTTTGAGACAGAGTCTCACTATATCACCCTTGGTAGAGTGCTGTGGAGTCACAGCTCACAGCAACCTCAAACTCTTGGGCCCAAGTGATTCTCCTGCCTCAGCCTCCCAAGTAGCTGGGACCACAGGCACCTGCCACAACGCCTGGCTATTTTTTTGTTGCAGTTGTCACTGTGTTTAGCTGGCCCAGAATGGGTTCCAACCGGCAAGCCTTGGTGTATGTGACTGATGCCATAACCACTATGCTACAGGTGCTTAGCTGATTATTTTGTATTTTGTATCTAATATTTCCAGTACCTAAAATCTGTGAGACAATAAATCTATTGTTAGTTAATTCTAATTATCTCTCGTGGTTTTTATATTTAATAATTTTTAAACTGTAAGTGAATCCTTTGTTAAGTTTAACTGGTGAAGTCTCTTAGAGATGCTTTCTTCTAGATATGATGTATGTTTATGTCTATCTGCTGCCTGGGGCTCTAGCAAACTCTTTAATTTCTTGGTTTGAGGTTTGGGGTTTCTTTCTAGAGAGTAAAAGATTGAACTCTGTAGCCATTTTCAAGGGTCCAGGCTAGGGGATCACTTGTTCTCTTCTTGCTAATATGTTTGAGTTCTCTGTGGATTCTGGTTATTAAACCTTTGTCGGAGACATACCCAGCAAATATCTTCTCCCGTTCTGAGGGCTGTCTACTTGCTTGACTTACTGTGTTCTTGGCTGTGCAGAAGCTTTTTAATTTGATGAGGTCCCAGTAATGTATTTTTGATGTTGCTTCAATTGCCCAGGGTGACTTCTTCATAAAATTTTCGCCCAGGCCGATTTCTTCAAGTGTTTTCCCTACACTTTCTTCTAGTATTTTCATAGTTTCATATCTTAAGTTTAAATCTTTAATGCTATAACCCAATTTTAGCCCAGGAATATGGGGAGAGGGGAGAGGGAGGGGAGGGGAGGGAGGAGAGTGGGTGGAGGGATGGTGATTGATGGGATCACTTCTATAGTTCATCCTATAAGGGTACATGTGAATCTCTGTAAATGTAAAATATAAATGTTTTAACACAATAACTAAGAAAAAGACATGAAGGCTATGTTAACCAGTTGGATGAAAGTATTTAGATATAGATTAGATATAGATTTGTATATAGAAACAGTACACTGTACCCCATGATATTAATGTACACTGCTATGATTTAATAAAAAAAAAAAGAAAAAAAAAGACTTCTAAAAATGCATCGAGGAAGATTACTTGACCACAAAAGAAAAAAGGGTCCAGGCTAGGGCAGGAATCTCAATCTAGCTCACCCATGTCTAGGTTTTATCTTCCATTCCCTACTCTGATATATGGATTTGCCTTTGGGCAACCCCAGTCTTTGCATTTGCTTACATTTCACATCAGTTTTCAGCTTACTACTATCCCTCTCCTTCTCTCCCTCACCCCTCTTATTCCTACTCCTCTAAATGCCTTTGGGATTTCTTTCACTTTCCTGCAAGCTAAGCTATGTATTAAAAATAAGCTCATTAAAAAAAATAAAAATACGCTTATTGTAATTTATCCAAGATTTAATAGTAGGGCATAACAAAGGCTTTTCAGAGTATCTAGTTCAAACTGCCACAAGTAGAAGCCAAGGGTAATTTTAAAAAAATGTAAAATAGTTTTTCTATTCTTGTGATTCTTCAGTTAGGAGAATGGTCTCCAATTCCATCCAAGTTGTTACTCTCAAGTACATACATGTATATGGGGGCAAAACCCAAAGGAAATTAAGTAGGTAGAGATGGGGAGGAGAGGTAGGGTAAAATCACACCTAACTAGTGCAATGCATATATTGTGGGTGAAGGGCCTACTTATAAGCCTGACTTAAAATGTACAGAAAGCAAATTATGTAACCAGAATATGTATAGCCCTGTAATATTCTGAAATTAAAAAAAAAAAAGTAAAATAGCTTATGTCACTCTCCTGCTTAAGCCTCTCCATGGCTTTCTCTCACACTTGAAATGTATAAACTGTCCTGGCCTATGAAGCCCATAGTTAGTCCCTGGCTTGTGCTCACATGACTCCCCTCTGCCACCTTGCTGTTCCTCTGGCATAGCCAGCTCATTCCTGCCTGACAGCCTCTGTCCAGTGGCTCCTCGGTCTGACATGTCTGCTCCTGTTTTCACATGGCTGGCTCTTTCTCACCATTCGGGTATCACTTTAAATGCCCACTTTTTGGCCTGGTGGGGTGGCTCATGCCTGTGATCCTAGCACATTAGGAGGCCAAGGCGGGTGGATTGCTTGAGCTCAGGAGTTAAAGACCAGCCTGAGCAAGAGACAGACACTGTCTCTGCTAAAAATAGAATAACTGGCTGGGCCCTGTGATGGGTGTCTGGAATCCCAGCTACCAGGGAGGCTGAGGCAAGAGGTTGCTGTGAGCTAGGCTGATGCCAGGGTGACACAGTGAGACTCTATCTCAGAAAAAATGCCACCTTCTCATAGGTGTCTTTTCATGTCTATTTCCCTATTGCATCAGCCTGTTTTAATTCTCTTTAGGGCACCTATTATTTATTTATTTTTTTTGCAGTTTTTGGCTGGGGCTGGATTTGAACCTGCCACCCCCAGCATATGGGGCCAGCGCCCTACTCCTTTGAGCCACAGGCGTGGCCTGGCACCTATTATTTATTAACTAAGGTATTCCTGTTTATTGCCTCTCTTGCCCTACTAGAGCGTAAGGCCTATGAGGACAGGCGCCTTTTTGTGTGCTTTACCACTATCTTCTCAGGGCTTAGACTAGTTTTTGGCACACAGTAGGGACTCAGTACACATGGATGGCTACTTATTCACTTTAGACAGAGCGTGGCTCTTCAATGCTCCAGAGTTCCCACTACTTCCTATTAGCTCCCCAATCCAGCTTGTCCTGTTAATTTACTTATCTACGTCGCCCCCATATGCATTTCAGTTTTCAATCTCTGCTCATAAATGTCCCTTGAATTATCTTCAGCATCTTGAGAGTGGAAACTTTGTTTGTTTATTTATGTTTTGAGGCAAAGTCTTGCTCTGTTGCTCAGGCTTGAGTGCCATGGGCTCGGCATAGCTCACAGCAACCTCAAACTCCTAGGCTCAAGTGATCCTCCTGCCTCAGCCTCCTGAGTAGCTAGGATTACAGGTGCTTATTAAAACACCTGGCTAATTTTTCTATTTTTAAGAGAGACGAGGCCTCGCTCTTGCCCAGGCTGGTCTTGAACTCCTGAGCTCAAGGAATCCTCCTATCTCAGCCTCCCAGAGTGCTAGGATTACAGATGTGAGCCACCATGCTCAGCTAAGACTTTATGTTTTATGTTCCTTTTCTTCTACCTTCAATGTCTTGCATATAGTAGGAGGGGAAGGAATTAACATTCATTGAATATCTCCTACTTGTTAAGGACAACACTATAATTTAATTTATATCCTTACAACAAACTGTGGGGCTGGGTATTATTATTTATATTCATTTAGGCTTAGAGTTATTCAGAATCATTTAGTAAACCAAGAATTGGGGTTGGAACCCACATAGACGACATATACCCAGTATGAAGTACTACAAAAGGATTGTTCTTATCTCAGGAACAGATGGCTGTTTTCAATTTGCGAAGTGAAGATCAGGCAATTGGATACCACAGGTTGAATTTTACTTGAGCAGTTCAGCTATTTAGTTAGTTATCAATTTCATTCCACTGAGTACATGAAGAATTAGCTTGAGGTATGCCTATGTCTGACTAGAAAAGGATCTGGAGATATTAATCATGCCTTCTACATGAGGGTCCTGAATAGCTAATATACATCTGCTTTTGGCAAACATGAAAATATCAGCAAAGCGATTTTCTGAGGTAGTCATTTCAATCAAACCATCAGCTACTGTGTTTCCCCGAAAATAAGACACTGTCTTATATTTATTTTTTCTCAAGAAGACACACTAGGGCTTATTTTCAGGGGATGTCTTATTTTTATTAAGTATAATACAATAATCTACATTTATTCAAATACAGTTAAGTCATCTTCTTCTGGACCTGACTGGGGCAGGGAGCCGATCTTGTTGGTGGGGCTGGCGCTAGTGATGCGTGAACTCCTTTCCCCTAGCTGTTCTCATGTGTGCAATAGGATGCCTGCGACTGTGGTTACCACATGCTCACCCATGGAAGTGCCAATGGCTCGGAGAAAGGAGCTGTGGCAGATAAAAAGTATTCCAGTCTTCCTTACCACTCTGCACCAAAATGCATGCCGTGACTATGCAGATATGCTGCATAGCCACGCCTATCACTAGGTCTTATAGGGGGTAGGGCTTATATTTAACAAATGCATAGAAATCCTGCTAGGACTTATTTTTTGGGTAAGTCTTATTTTCGGAGAAACACGGTATCACTGGATCACTGAACAAAGACAGAACGCATTGAATGTATACCACACCACCAAGGATTCTTTTAAGTAACAAAATCTTATTTTTATTTTTGTTTTTTTTTTTTACAGAAATTCAGATATCCCAACAAATTTCTTTACATTTCCTGGACCTTAAAAAAATTACACACAACTTTTGGACGCAATACAACAGAACAGAATGAGAAAGGGAGTCACATTTTTTTTTGTTTTTAAAAAAGATAAAAACATACTTCTTATACTTAGTTAACATTTAGTGATTTACATGTGTATTACCTATGTACAAATGGTACATCATCAATGACCCATCTTCAGAGCACTGTGGTATGCTAAATTACACTTAGGTTTTATGGCAAAAACTTTTTAAAAACATTTGCATGTGGATAGGAAGTACTTTTTAATTTTTGTTAATACCACTATGAGTGAGGCAGGACTCCCAGTGGACTCTGTAATTTATATGGATTAGAGACAGCCAATACCTTTTGTTTTTATTATAGATAAAGCAGAGAGGTATCTCCCTTTAAACCAAAGATGAATTCTTGAAAAGTTGTGTGTAATTAAATTTAGTAAGTAGGGTGTTATGAATCCAGTAGAGAGCTAAAACTTAAAGCAACAAATAACTCCCAGAATGACTAATACTTTAGTTATGGATAATAAGTATGCCCTTAATTTGGTTCTTTAGAAAAGCATCATCTCTGTGAATTGGGTTTTACTCCTTTGAGTGTGCCAGTAATTTACTTTTAGCCATTTGTGAAAAGATGGCTAGTATCAGATACATTTGGCTAGAATACGAGTGTGGTCCTAACAGAGAGAGGATCAGGGCAATCACCCCAGATCCGTATCAATTCTTGTGTTATCTTCTGTCTGATGTTTTAGTGACATATGCTGATTTAATCTTAATTTTGAATCTATGAATGAGAGAATTCTATATGTCTATGCTTTCTGCTCAGGTATAGAACATGGTTTGGCTTCCACTAACTATCCTTGATGTAAATTTTAGCTTGTGTTCACTCTCAGGCAATTGGCTATTTCAACTTTAAATATTTCTCTGTTGTTGAATACTGGCAGGATATGTGGTGAAGGAAGCCTGTAAGCAAAAGATTGTTGAAGACAACTGGTTAGATGTAACTACAGCCAGAAATCAGCTAACTAAAAAGAATCTGAGTATTTTTGAAACCAACATTAGTCAATAAAAGGGTAACTTATTCCTATAGAGTGTCTTTGATCTATATAAGCATATAGTCATTTATTTCTAAGGCTATTAAATTATTATTTATTTTGTTAGTACCACTTACTATCTTTTAGAAATATGTTTAATGAAATGATTTAAAAAAATGAGTGCCTGTCAGTAAGGGACATAAAAGATATAGATTTCTGATAACATGTATAACAAAGAAATATAAAAAGGATATATTTTAGATAAGTTATTTATAATGCATATTAAATTCCTATGCATATACTAAGGAGAATTAGAACAGAGTATTCATCTGATAGTAGCCTATATAGTACATGTAAGCATCCAAGGTGAAAGTGACCTTTCTATATTTTTCAGAGTTCCTTGATGCTGTTTCCTGAAAGATAGGGACAACTATGTTGCTTGGGAACCTATAATGTAAAGATGTACTTCCTGTAATATACAGCTTGATGGAGCAATGGTATATGTCAGAAACACTTTCTCAGTAATAACTCTGAACGGACAGATTAAATGGAACACAGACTGGGTAAAAATTTAGAGTGTTACATTTCTTAATAACTGAGTGGTTATAACTTATTACACAGCGAAATAAATGACAGGTAGGGATGAGGAATCAAAGGTCACGGCTCCTGTGAAAACATTCAGAGGCATTTTCTAAGATGCTCCCTTAATAAATGATGCTTGATCAGCCTCTTGGCTATTGAGATAGGAATAATTTAGCCTAACTGCCTTTCTTAAAATTCTATTGAAAGAGTAAAGCTTTTTGTTTTCAGTTTGATTAAAAGGACAGTTTACAAACCTCAGTACTTATGTATTTTACACGTAAATTCCCGCACATTTATATTCCTCCTCCTTCAAATGTTTCCTGAATATGACTTTTTCATGATCTTATCCAATGACGGTTTCCAGTGAGTTGGCATGGAATCCACGATTGCATCTCTTTCCAGAAAGTCACGCCCATCTCTGCTGATCTAGATTTAGAAGGTGCTTTGATAGGTGAATGTTTCACTCTTGTCCATGTTCATCTCTGTACTCTGATCTCTCTCAAGCGTCTTCCTTCTTGATGTTGATGTATAAAAGCTGTTATTCAATTTGTTTAGCTGTTATTCGATTTGTTTTGTGCTCATTCTAGAGAATATTGGCTTAGCAGAACTGCAGAAAAGGGAGGGAAGAGAGAGAGAAGGGGTGGGGAAGAAAAAAGAACGCATCATTTTCTGTCAGCAAGACTTTTGTGCACAATATTATTCGTCATGGAAAAACACACCAACAAATGGTTCAAATGCACTTTGGATTTGTTACTGAGATTTTTGTTCCAGTAAGCCCACAACAGTCTTCCCAGCAAGGAGAATACATGTTTCTTTCATCTGGGTCAAGATTACAGGCTGCTTTGAAGGAGCAAGGGAGAATGTGGATGATCCCAAGCGTCACTGACTCTCCTGCCTTGTATGGGAAAATGTCTCAATTGTATGTTTTCCTCTTTTTTTTTTTTTTT